TTAAATTTTTAAAATCGTATATAAGCGATTGTGGGCGTTAAAGGGGGCGTGGCACCATTTTGAAACAAACTTGCGCTGCGTAGGAACTTCTAAAATCTACATGCAAAATGCCAATCTTCTAGCTTTTATAGTTTCCGAGATCTCAGCGTTCATACGGACAGACAGACAGACAGACAGACAGACGGACAGACAGACGGACAGACGGACAGACGGACATGGCTAGATCGACTCGGCTAGTGATCCTGATCAAGAATATATATACTTTATAGGGTCGGAAACGCTTCCTTCTAGCTGTTACATACTTTTGCACGAATACAATATACCCTTTTACTCTACGAGTAACGGGTATAAAAAGTATTCAGGAACGATAAATGCAATATCCATTCCGTTGGAAAATAAATCGGTTAGCTTACAAAATTTCATAGCTTGATTATTTATTTTAATTAATCAAAAATTGTTTTAACTTAAAATAGATAAGAGTTTAGACTTTTGTTTTAAAGCCACACTATCCCCAAACACTTTCTTTTGCGGTATTTTTAAATTTACTTTTACTTGACTTTGCTCCCAATTTGTAGAAACGTTTAAAGCAATCGATGGCAAACAATTAAACTTTTAAGCTCCATCCATCAAGATAATAGCTTTACCCCAAAGAATGTATACATTTTCGACTACAGCTGACGATTGATTTTCGCGCCAAGCCTCACTTAAGATGAATGGGTAACTAAATTTGTTTTTGACATTCTATTTAGAACATTTGCCGATTGGCTTTCGCTTAGATTGATGACGCTAATTGGTGGCTGTGAAAGTCTCTTTGGGGCCATCAACTTTAAAAACAAAGGCTACAAAAAATTGTTATAATTTGCTATATGCGGTTGCCAGAGGAAATTTACTTGTGCTAGTTTTTCTATTTTTTTGTTACACCATTGCAAATGTAGTTTGGCTGTCAACAGCGAAGATCAATCAATCATAGTGGCAGAGAGCTGGAAAACCTGGTTAACCCAACCCCAGTTAAAGTAATCCGAGTTATTTTGCCATTTGCAGGCGACAATTAAAATGTTTTCATGTTTTGTGTGCAGCGCATTGTATGCATTGCTTATTTATGAGCAGCCCAGAAAAAGCCAGTCATTATTACTGTGATTTCCATGAAATGTCATTTTGTGGGAGTAACCAAACACTGCCAGGCGAAGCATGAACTTGTTTTTGGTCACTGAGCACGCCAGTGTAATCACAGCGTCCAAATGAAATGGCTCAGAGTCAAGACATTAATTAGCCAAAGGCAGCCTAATGACCCCAAACCGTTATCCAAGATCGAGATGAATATGCATATACAAGTGTATACATATACAGATGCACCCAATGGTTGGCAACCACTTTCCACCTTGCTGCGTTCCATAAATAAATAAAAACTTAATGTTCGACAGCCGGCAGCCAACAAAAACTGGCTGCACCACCGATGTGGTTAGATGTGGTTCACGCCCGCCTCTGTTCACTTTTAGTTTTCACTATCACTTGCCTCCAATCAAATGCAGAGCACTTCTCCAGACGGGTTTCGGGTTTTCATTTTTCATTAGTTTTTAAATGCAGTTTTTCTTATTTTTGTGTTTATCCTTGGTTATTGAAAACTGTCCCATGTCAGCAACAATTGGCGATCGTTTGAAAGGTGTTTAATGTTGTGGTAAATGCTGGTCATACAGACTGCCAGTGGCACTGTCGGACTCTCAGTAAAATGGGAGCGTAGAATGGTAATTGTAGATGAAATTTCATTTAATAAAACCTGATTTATTCGAGTTACGCTACGTGCTTACAACTTGAACTTATAAATCTTTGACTAAGAAAGAGGAGGAGCAATCGAGAAATAGAGTGTGGTTGTTTTCCTTTGATCCAACACCATGAATATGATCCCATAAAAATTATGATCTACCTTAATTGAATTATTATTCATAATCATAATAATTTGCAAATAATTTCAGGAGGTCCGTCCCAACACCATTCCAGACCTCAAAGTAGACGCGACCTTTCGCAAGGTGGCAAAAAATGCGATAACCTTTGCCCTTTGGAAAATAGACGAAGATCGCCTGGAGGCAGTCACACGATCGCAGTATGGTACCTTCTATGATAACTGCGCCTACATTATCTACGCAGCCAGTTTGCCGGGTCATTATGCCAACCACGAGACCATCGTATGTAACTTAATCAACTTGTACAGGCTGGTTTCTAATGAGAATTCCATACTTAAAGACACGCGAACAGAAGCCTAATGTGGTGTTGGAGCGATATATCCACTACTGGTTGGGCAAGAATGTGAGCGAACAGAACCGCTCCAATGTGGTGCACAAAATCCAGGAGCTGGACTCGTATCTGGGAAATGTGGCTTCCATTTATCGTGAGACTCAGAACCTGGAGAGTGCAAGGTTTCTTTCTTACTTCAAGAAGGGTTACGAGTGAGTTTAATTTATTATTAATTTGTGATGTTTCAATTGTTGCATTTATATCAATAATAATGTTTATTAATTACAGTGTTCGGTCAGGAGCCTTGTTAAGCGCCCCTAAAAGGCCTCGCCTCTTTCAACTGCACGCCCGCAAATGGCTACGATCCATAGAGTTGGCTACCATTGATTGGTCTCACTTTAACTCGGATTACATAATGGTCCTGCAAACGGAAACCCTGATCTTTGTGTGGATTGGTCGCTCCAGTTCGGGAATCGAACGACGAAGCGCCCTGGCTTGGGTTCAAAAGCATTGGAGTGGATCCCCCATCACCATAGTAGATGATGGCTACGAGCAGGCCATGTCCCAGGAAAATAAAGAGCTGTGGAACTCCCAGCTTCCGCTCAAGAAACGAATGGTCTGCCAGGCCAGTCAATCGGTCAGCGAATACGCCGACTACAACGGCAATAAATTCCGGATCTACAAGTGCAATCAGCGGGGAAGATTGCATCTGGATCAATTGGATGTGGGCATGCCAGCTAAAGATGATCTAAACGATGCCCATGGAGTCTATCTACTGGATAATTACGGCCAAAGCATTTGGTTGTGGGTTGGGGCTCAAGCGCCTCAAGCAGATGCCCTTTCTGCCATGGGAAATGGACGGGCGTTTGTCAAAAAGAAGAAGTATCCGGATAACACCCTGGTGGTGCGTGTGTTGGAGGGTCACGAACCGGTGGAGTTTAAGCGGCTCTTCGCCAACTGGTTGCATGTTTGGCAAGAGAACACTAGAGGTCATAAGCCAGTCTCCACAAAGTTTGGCAAGCTGGATGCCCATTCTCTGTGCGAGCGCCCCAAAATGGCTGCGGACACACAGCTAGTGGACGATGGCAGGGGTGAAAGGATAGTGTACCGCATCTTGGGGGATCAGGTGCAAGAACTACCCATCTGCAAGACGGTGGTCTTCACTACCAATGCCAGCTATGTAGTGAAGTACAGTGTGCAGGTAAGGATGAACAAATCTAATAGTATTATCATAAAACTAATCCTATTTCCTTTAGTGCGCCACTGTCGTTCCCGCGGACCTAGCATCGGTCGGCATTGAAACGATCATCTACCAGTGGAACGGTTCGGAGGCCTCTGCGGAATCAATTTCCCGTGCGGACAAGTTCGCCAAAGCCAGTTTTGATGGTCTCAAGGAGCCAGGAATGTTTGTACAGCTTTATGAGTTCGATGAGCCGCCACACTTCCTTCAAATCTTCGAGGGAAAGTTGATCATTATGCGGGGTCAGCGCTGCGAAATGCTCCACAACGGGAGCGCCAATGGAGGTAACGTCTTGTTGGATACATTTCTGCTGAAGGTCTACGGAGATGCCAGTTACAACGCGAAAGCTGTGGAGGAGACACCACTTTCGTCGATTAGCTCTAAAGATTGCTATGTGATCAAGACGAGTCACGTTTGGGTGTGGTGTGGACAAAGTAGCACGGGAGACGCCCGCGAGATGGCGAAATCTGTGGGAGCACTTCTGGGAGAGAACTCTCTTGTCCTTGAAGGCAAAGAAAGCAAGGAGTTCTGGCAATCGGTGGCGATGTATTTCAACCAAACTCTGGTGATCAACGGCAATGGGAACTCCTGTTCCAGCAGCACTAGCAGCAGCAGTGGTGCTGGGAGCATGTGCAACGGCAGCTTCAATGGTGGTAACATATCACCCACCCTCAGCAACAATTGTTATCTGAACACCAGTGTTCCGAGTAAGCCGAGACCCCCGGTTCAACTTTTTATGGTCTGGTGGCAACAGAGCACGCTAAGATATGAGGAGATTCTCGGCTTCGATCAGCAGGATCTCAGTTCGGATTGCACCTATATTCTAGACACTGGTACCCTCACCTACGTCTGGCTGGGATCGCAGGCCTTGAACCAGGAGCGCTACACGGCAATCGCCCAAAGTTATGTCCAGAATGCTCCATTTGGACGCAGATCAGCTACAGCATTGGCCGTCGTTAGGCAGTTTCAGGAGCCGAATGTCTTTAAGGGTTTCTTCGAGTCCTGGCAAAACGATTACGGCAAGGTATTTCCTTTTTTTATTAAGCTAAATTTCAAAATAATAATTAATATACTTTCAGAACTTTCTGTCCTACGAGGTTATGCGCAAGGATCTGGGAAATGCCGTGCCCAGCACCTGCAGCCTCGCAAATAATGGGTCACCTTTGCTCCTGAATAATAGACAGAAAGGCTTTGATGGCCACAAGAAGTATCCACTGACAGTTCTCATCCAGGAGATGGACATGCTGCCACCAGAAATTAATCCCCTGAAGAGAGAGGTTAGTTCTAGCCAATTTGAGTAGTTTCTGTATAGGTTTTCTAACTCTTTTACTATATACAGGTTCATCTTACCCACGATGATTTTGTCTCTGTTTTTAAGATGTCTTTTTACGAATTTGACGAGCTGCCCAAATGGAAGAAAATGGAGTTGAAGAAACAGTTTAAACTGTTTTAAGCTTCGCAACTTGTTGAAATGCGTCTAGCGAGTGCGCACTGTATATAATCCTCACATTTAATGAATACTATGAAGATATAGTAGCTGTTAAAGCAGTTTATGTTAAATAAACACACTCTACGTAGATGAAATAAAGCGAAAACATGGAACTTTTACAAAATAACATTGGTAAAAAATAATATTTGTTTAGGCATCAGGTAGTTTCCACCTCCTCAGAGTCTGGTTCATCGCCACTGCCAGAACCTGTGCAACAAAGAAATAATCAATTATCCACAGAAATTTATATTTAGAGATTGAAAAACTCACTGGGAAACAAGAGCCCGAAAATGAACTCGACAATTCCACCGAGTAGATCCCAAAACATTTTGATCCGCTGTGGTTAACGTTTTGTAACTAAATACAATGGCAATACTGTTCGGGAGCATTTTTGACCCAGACCCCTTTAATGAGCCATGACAAAAACGCACGACCAATTCGGGCTTAATTCAAACCAAAAAAGATTGCATGATTTGGGTCAAAATACACAAATATAATATGCCTATTGAAAAGCTTTTAAAGGTAAATGTTCATATCAAATTTATTTGCTTTGTTACATCATGATCAGCGGATTATTTCAATTTTAGTTGTCGTAGTAATCACCAAAGTATTCCTCATCAGCTTTACAAACAAGAAATAATATGATTACAGGCCTTTTTGGATATATTGTGAAAAAAATATATTACTTATGTCGGAAAAGAAGAGGTCGTTGAGAAAACCCAAAAATATTTCCGGCAGTTCACAACAGTCCATATTGTTGATTTTAACTTAGGTTCTTTAACAAATGTTGTTGTATTTATACCATTTGTTTTGGTGGTTAATAATAGTATTAAATATTCTGCTGTATTTAATAACATGAATTAAGTTTATAATTCATTATCATTTAGACACCATGATAAATGATTTCTAAGTGCTCGAAGAGTCATAATCATCATCAGAAGAGCTGTCAGCTGAAAAAAAATTAGTTTCTAAATTATATTCCATTTGTTTTATTAAAATTCACTAAAAGAATATTTTTTGGCTTATATTACTTATCCAGTTCCACCTCTCCTATATCCTCCAACTTACTGCCGAACAGCATGTCTCCAATGATTTCAAAAATCATTCCAATTATTTCACAATCCTCCATGGCCTTAGGTACTTCTGCTTTTCAAACTTGTACTAACCACAGCAGTTCTAAGCGTTGGTTTTATATACAATTTTGGGTTAGTTGTAGTTGTATAACCAAATTTATCTTTTGAACTTGGTACATTTTCATGGTTAATCGTAAATAATTTAATTAATAACCAACCATTTGGCTTTTAATATAAATTTGTCTGGCAGCGTGACATTTAAAAAGTCCAGAACTTAAAACATAGTTTTATTTGGCCTTTGTGTACTTAAAAACAAAATCAATCATATATAACAATTTAATATACATCATAGCCGTACATAGGCCCCTCCATATAGGCCTTCTGCTGGTCCGTGGAATTGCGTCGGATTCTCCTGCCAATGGGCTCCAGATCGGCATAGCATTTAGGGAACACTCTCTCCACTGCAGCAATGGCATCTGTTTTGGTTATATTTCGCACAGCCAGCACTGAGGCCAGCGCTTTGGATTTGACACAGTTCTGAAAAAGGATTTTAAAAGAAGATTTAGTTTCTGGAATTCTGAATTTCTTAACATATGCAATTTTAGGAAGGAACGGAGGAGTAAAATGACCAAAAACTATTTGTAATATAGTTTCTAATTTACATACAATGGGTTTATGTTAAACCATTTATGTAGGTATGTAAATTTATATCATCAAAATATGAAAAATGTTTATAATTTCTTAAGCTCCATAAAATTATTTAGTTGTTTTTAATACAATGATTTTTTTGGACTTTTGTTTTAAATATAAAAACTTAATAAAATTTTCTAAGGAAAAAGTTCCAAGACTAATACATAATATACACATCACCCACCTGATGCGCTTCTTTGACATTAAAAGGCGAGGCATCCCCCTGGAACATGGCGCTTAAAAAGGAGCAATGAGCCAAGTTCGCCGCCCTGATTTCCGTGCAGGCCAGGTGGTCCACGTTCCGGAAGTCCATGTCGTTGTTGCAGTAGTCGAACATGTGAATCATCTCGTGGGTAAGGACGCCATGGACCATGCTCTTATTTTTGGCCATATTCTGGCACACCACGATCTGGTTGAGCTTGGGATCGTAGCCACCGGTGACCGTGGGATCGCACACCTCGCAGGAGATGTGCCGGCGCAGATCGATGGGACACCCGGAGCTCTTCAGGGCCCCCATCATCAGTTTCACAAGCGGACCGTTCTTGACACACCAATAGACATTCTCTTCGCACTTGTAACGATCGAGGTTCTCCTGGCCCTCCAATCCGAACAAGACCCGCGTCCATTTGGGCTTGAAGGCTTCGCCCCTCCTCTCAGGATACAGGTCATAACCCCAGTCCTTTTGTTTTTCGGGGGTTTCCTGACTTGCAGACGTTTTATCAGGCTGTGGACTTGGTTTTTCCTGCGCTGTGTCAGTGGTGGCTTCTATTTCGACGGGAGTAGCTGCCTCCTTGGCCCACACTTTAGTCAGAAATTCCATAGTTTTAAGGGTTTTTTAGCTCCAACTTGGTTAAATAACAAACCTGCAGCTGATTGGTTAGCGTTGCCACCCCGCTGAATAACCAGTGGTGTTGCAAGGTAAATTTGGGGGATAATATCATTTTATTTTTTATTTAAATGATCAGAACACTTAATAAATTTTATGGACTTAAAGTAAAATGTACTAAGAGTTAATAATTAACAATTTGTACTTTCCCATGCGCACAATAATCCCAAAATACAATTTCACATATCAGTCCCCTTCGCACCTCCAACACAAGCCACTGGTTGTTGTTATCGATAGCTGTCTTCACTGCCCTCGCTAGTGCTACACCGGCATTTACAGTAAAAAAAACCATACCATAGCAAATTCCACGTAAGATTTACAGCACAGAGTGACCAATTGAAATTAGCAGATTATTTAGGTGTAGCAATAATCACGTCCAAAATGCAAGGCTTGGGAGTCAGCCAAATGGGTCTAATACCCGTCGTGGTGGCTCTAGCGATCTTGAATGCAGGTTCGGCCAGCGAAGTTCCACGTCCACTGGGAGTCTCACTGGCCAAAGCTTCACTGTACCAACCGCAGGCCGGCGACCAGAGTTGGACCTGTCTGGATGGCAGCCGGAGCATACCCTTCGCCCAGGTCAACGACGACTACTGTGATTGTGCGGACGGCAGCGATGAGCCGGGTACCGCCGCCTGTCCACAGGGACAGTTCCATTGCCTCAACAAGGGCCACCAGCCGGTGGATATACCCAGTTCGCGGGTCCAGGACGGGATCTGTGACTGTTGCGACGGCAGCGACGAGTCACAGGTGGTCGGCTGCCCCAACACCTGCCTGGAACTCGGTGCGGCGGCTGCTGTTCAAAGACGAAACGAGGCAGAGCTCCACAAACGAGGAGCCGAAAAGCGCCTGGAGATGATCACCCGCGGCAAGCAGATGAAGGCGGAACGCGAGGCTCGCCGCCTCGAGCTGGACCAGCGGCACAAGGAACAGGTGGTTCTGCGCACCGAAAAGGAGCAGCTCAAGCAAAACGCCGAGGCTCTGGAAAAGGAGGCCATTGACATCTTCAAGGCGGAGCAGCGCGAAGTGGACGCGGAGACCGCTCAGGCGGAGCAGGAGCCCCAGCAGATGCGTCAGGAGGCCTCCCTGAGCTTCATGCGCTACGACACCAACAAGGATGGCTTCGTCGAGGTAACAGAACTGATGGTGGACATGAATCTGGACAGGGATCGTAACGGTGTGGTCACCATCGATGAAGCCAAATTCTTCCTGGACGAGCGCGAACGCTTAGATCTGGATGCGTTCGTCACACTCGCCTGGCCAAGGATTAAGCCTTTGGCAATGCTGGCCGAGGGACTGTTCCAGCCCCCGCAGCCGGAGGAAGTTGTAAAGCAGGAAGAGGTCACCACCGAAGGTATCGAGCCCACACCGCCAAAGCCAAGCGAAGGTAAAGAAGACTTACTTAATTTCGAGTCATTCAAAGTTTGTAGTTTAACGTTGATCAATTTTTTGACCCATTTTCATGTTAGTTATTTCCACGTTTCCGATGACTTATAATGAGGTGACCCCCCATTGGACTTCCAGAGTCCATAACTTTACGAAATTTAATCCGATTTCAAAGTGACATACCTCTAAAGACTTGTGGCTTCATTCTCTAAAAATCTGCATTCACAATTTTCATTTTAACGTTGATCAATTTTTTGACCCATTTTCATGTTAGCTATTTCCAAGTTTCCGATGACTTGTAATGAGGACTTCCAGAGTCCAAAACTTTAACAAATTTAATCCGATTTCAAAGTGACATACCTCTAAGGACTTGTTGACTCATTCTCTAAAAATCTGCATTCAAAATTTTCATTTTAACGTTGATCAACTTTTTGACCCATTTTCATGTTAGTTATTTCCAAGTTTCCGATGACTTGTAATGAGGTGTCCCCCATTGGACTTCCAGAGTCCATAACTTTAACAAATTTAATCCGATTTCAAAGTGACATACCTCTAAAGACTTGTGGCTTCGTTATCTAAAAATCTGCATTCAAAATTTTCATATTAACGTTGATCAACTTTTTGACCCATTTTCATGTTAGTTATTTCCACGTTTCCGATGACTTGTAATGAGGTGACAGCCAATTGGACTTCCAGAGTCCAAAACTTTAACAAATTTAATCCGATTTCAAAGTGACATACCTCTAAGGACTTGTTGCTTCATTCTCTAAAAATCTGCATTCAAAATTTTCATTTTAACGTTGATCAACTTTTTGACCCAGTGTTATGTTTCCAAGTTTCCGATGACTTGTAATGGGGTGACCCCCAATTGGACTTCCAGAGTCCATAACTTTACCAAATTTAATCAGATTTTAAAGTGACATACCTCTAAAGAGTTGTGGCTTCATTCTCTAATTTTAACGTTGATAAACTTTTTGACCCATTTTTATGTTAGTTATTTCCAAGTTTTCGATGACTTATACATAAGTAAGAAATAATTGTAACAATTTTAACAAATATTTGTTAATTATTAGTAACAAATAATAGTATTTTAATTCTACATTCTAAATTTGTTTATAGTTTAAAAGTAAATTATACCAAAACTCTAAGCCTACCTTAAGTCGCAGTTAGGAAATTTAATTTCTTGAGTTCCGCACACAATTTTTTTTTGCAACTTTCATATTATGTGTCTAGCTAAGACCTCATACATTTTTACTCTTCCAGAACAAGCTGATCTGGCTGGCGAAGAAGAGATTGAAGCCGACGAAGAGGGCGAGGAGGATCAGTACGAAGATGAAGAACCCGATGTGGGCGTGGGCGAGGCCTCTCCTGACGTGGAGGAAGTGACACCGCCAAACTACGATCCGGAGACGGCACGCTTAATTCAGCAGGCCAACGAGGCGCGAAACGCTCTGGAGGAAGTCGAACGCAGCCTGCGCGAGATCGAGCAGGAGGTTAAAGAGATTGACGAGCAGAACAGCAAGGGTTACGGCCTCACCGAGGAGTGGGCGGTGCACGATGGCCAGTGCTACAACTTCGAGGATCGGGAGTATGTCTATACCCTCTGCCCCTTCGATCGGGCTTCTCAGAAGTCAAGGAGTGGGGGACCCGAAACCACGCTGGGTCGCTGGGATAAATGGATCGGCGAGCCCAAGAAGTATTCGCAGCAAAAGTACACCAATGGAGCCGCCTGCTGGAATGGTCCGAATCGTTCGGCCATCATCAACATCAGTTGTGCTTTAGAACCCAAGATCACTGCCGTCAGCGAGCCCAATCGCTGTGAATATTACTTTGAATTCGAGACTCCTGCCGCCTGCGACAGCGAAGCTTTCCAGGCGGAGGCGGAAAACCTGCACGACGAACTTTGAAAAGATCAGCAATCAAGGATAGGTGTGTGCCTGGCATACGAAGATTAGAGATTTGGGGATTGTATTTTAGTTTTAAAGAAGAATATTAATTTTGTCGAGATCATTCCCAAGCTGTTGCAGGAAAATCATCAAGAATTGTAGCAAATTAAATCAGTGTATGCATTTAAGCAAAAAGTACATCAAGTTTCATTTTGAATAAAGTGTAACTAAATAGTAATTTGTAATTGAAAATTATTTGGAGTAGTGCAGAGACAGGTGTTTTTGGGATGTATTTTAGTAAATAATCATATTTTTGTTGAAGTCATTCCCTTGCTAAATCAAATAATATCAATGAACGAGCTGGAGCGCTCGTTCTGTAAACATACTTAATAGTTTTGTAATAATTGAGCACAAATAATAATAATTTTGAAATTGTAGTGAATCAGAGAATATAAAAACAAAAACACCCATAATTGTATCTACATAAAGCAAGTTAATTGAAAATGTGAATTAAAAGCTTAACATACAAACTTTAATTCTGAATAAAGTGTCAACCAATTTCGTAATTTAATAATTATTTTTGGAGTAATTAAAAAGAAGATTCTGGGAACATTTTTAAATCAATTAAAGGGTGATAGATCATTTTATAACCAAATTAACTTCCTAGATGACTCATTACATTTTTAATAGGTATAAACAGTTATAATTTTTTTAAAATATGCATATTACAGTGTAGATTAATTCTATGCCTCGGTGACAGCGAGCTTTATGTCCTCCAAATAGCCATCCACCTGATGCTCTAGGGCGAGAATGTGTCCGGTGTTGCAATTCTCCGCGCCAACAAAGGTCAGGATAAGCGGAAGCTTGTTCATCTGCACCACCTGGTAGTTGGAGTACATCGAGATGATCGTCTTGTTCCTACCCAATCCCAGTTTGCTAGCCTGATCACAGGCGGTGGTGAATGTGGGGATGAACGAGGGCATCAGGGCGAAGTCCACGTTCTTCTCCTGGCTGACCCGCAGGAGGGGCACTCCGTCGCGATCCGTAATCTGAATCACGTACAGGCCGCTGACCCTTAAAAGGAAAAATACGCAAGTTTACAAAAGGAAAACTCCTTTTAAGGGGATATTTACTTTTGCAGCAGGCCATCTAAATACTTCTTGATGTCGTCCGACATGTAGAATGTTTTGGAAATGTGAAAGCGGAAAACTTAGAACAATAAAAATAAGTTTTTTCTCCGCATCCAATTATTTACACAAAACAAACTGGCAACAGCTGACTCAAATTATCGATAAGTGAACTTAACAAGGGCGTAGTTTGGGGGCTAGAATTAAATTTTATTATGACAGTCTTATCCAATTATTTTGAGCATTTTCCTTCAAAGCTAAGTAAAGGCTTAAATATTTGTAGATTAAGACAACTGGTCGCCCATTTTGCAAAGACGATAACAATACAAAACAAACAACAAAATCCCCTTTAATACCATTTTTCCACGCCCTTGCAAAGTTATCGATTAGAGCTCGCTTTTGGTTGCGTGGAAATTAGATTTTGTTAGTATTAAAATTACTTGAATTATTAGAAATAACTTATAAATCAAATTATTTAATTGGTATTGCAAAAGAACCAACCTTTCTCGAGCATGGTCACTGGTGATCCGGGCGCGACGAAGCCCCCAAAGGCGGCGGCTTCAGATGATGACGACTACACAGCTTCCATGACGCACTTAACCATTGGACAACAGATCCAAGAGCTGTCCAAGCAGCTGCAGAACACGAAGGAGGAGCTGTACCAGCAGGTGCGGGACAAACATGGAGCACTTCTGCAGCAGGCCACCCACGCGGGACGCTTCGATGCGGCTCTAAACACGCTGGCGGAGGATGTGCAGCGGGTCAGGGAGACGGGACACCGGCTGAAGAACCAGGTGGACACGCAGTACCAGCAGGTGGAGAACCAAACCCAGGTGCTCGGTCGTCTGCACGATGTCAGTCACCTCCTCCGCTCGGCTGGAACCCTTCTGACTCTCACGGCCAAGCTGAAGGGAACCAAGGATGTCCTACGCCAGGCGGAGCTGCACTTTGAGCTGGGCCAACTCATCGAGGACAAGGAGCTTAAGGACATCGAGTTCATACAGCAGGAGCGGGCTTACGTGATCAGTTCGGGTCAGAAGATAAGAAACCTCACGCAGATGCAGTTGGTAACGGGCCTCCAGGAGCGAAATCAAAATCAAGTCGTTAATGCTTTAAAGGTGGGTTCAGAGGGAATATTAAACGCTTATACTATTTAATTACCAAACCCTCAGATCTTTATAAACTTCAATACGCTGGAAAAATCCCTGGAAAATCTGCTGGCCACCTTTATCGCTGATATGGAGCAATCCCTCAAGGAGTGCTTTGCCGGGAATGACATCTCAGTGCTCAATAAATCGCCCACGCACAATGTTAGCAAACCAGCTCCCTCGAGGGGACCAGGGAAAACGCCCCAGTTGACAACCACCCAGAACTTCCGGGCCAAGTTCTGGAAATCCCTTCATTGGCTGCTCTATGACGAACTCTTTGAGACCTGCACGCAGATTAAGCTGCTTAAAACGTCTCTGGAACAGATTAACCAGTTTGGCTACACTTCAGAGGCCTCGGATCAGTGCATTCCACAGCGGTTTTGGCAGAAAGTGCAACAGCTCCTGCGAAAATCCTTTGATGAATGCCCCCAGCATGTAACGCAGACCCTCCAAGAAGGGCTCTCCAAGCTCCTGACCTCCGCTCGCGGATTTGAGCAGCGCCTGAATGGAGAATTCCAGTTCGATAACGAGCTCTTTGCTCCTCTGGAAGTGGGATACGTAAGCAAATGTGCTGCCAACTTTAAGGCCTGTCTGGCTGGAGTAGATTTACCTGGCAACGAAACCGTGGACAATTTCATACGGGTGGCTTCCACCGAACTGAGTGCCGCTTTGATCGATTCCCGTCTCACGAACTCCATTGCTAATGTTTTCGTAGCTTGCGGCAAGGAGTTGTGTACCAAATTAGAGGCTCAAATTAAACTGGGAGCTGATTCCAAGCAGGTCGTGGATCTGCCCAACCTGCAGCAGCAGCAAAACACACAGTTGGCGAATGTTTTGTACCACTACAAGGATTCAGTGCGTCGCATGCTGAGCGATCTTCAAGTGCAGTTTGAGAAGACCCCGGGAACAGCTAGGGAGAGCATATCCCGCTCCCTGGAGCAGGCTGACCTGCTGATCGGCACCATTTTGCAGCAGATAATGGAGTCCATTATTACGACCATTAGTATCATCATATTGAGTATGCACAGGGAACCGGGTTTGAACACGGAGAGGCTTTCGACCACGGGTCCATCGATGTACATGAAGGAACTGCAGGTGGGTGGAATTTGAAGACTTCAGTAATAGTCAATTCTATGAATAGCCCTTTTTTAAATGCCCCAGGAGTTTGTCAACCGTTCCTGGTCGCATCACATCGCCCTGTTCGATGACAAACAGATGACAACAAAGTGTGGCCACGAGCTAGCCAAGCGCTGTATCGAGCTCTTTCTGCACAATGTGTGCATTCTGCGTCCTTTAAGTGTGGCGGGAAGGCAGCGTTTGAAGCAGGACTGCCAGCACATGGAGCAAGCTTTGAAACCCCTTTGCCCTAATCTCGCCGAGCTTGGAAAGCCCTCGCGTCTGCTACGAGCTATGTCCCTGCTGATCGTCCAAACAGCCCAGGAACTGGTGAAACAGACGATCGGGGAAGACTCCCTGGTGCCCAGCTATATAGTGTTGCTGTTGCTCTTCGGACACGCTGGAGCGGATCTGCAGTCGCCGCATACCACGGCCAACTGGTCCAATGAGCGTCTGATCGAGTGGCTGGATGGACATACGGCGGAGCGAGAGAAGCTGGAGCTAATCTCGGGGGCATTGCAGCGGTATCGCGATAATGCTAGGCGCAAAAATATTCAGCAATACGACGAAGTTTACCCCATGATGGTCGAGTATTTTGAACAGGCCTTGAAGGCAATTCCATAAATAACAAATGTAATCTATACAACTAGAACTATTAAAAAATTCGATCTTATTTATAAATAAATCAAACCGATTAAGTATATTGGTTATTATTTTAAACAATAAAATGCTTAAGCCTCTACGTTTTTACTGCATAAAATTGGTTTTCTGAAGACAAATAATAACAATTTAATCTTAAGAAAATATAAATTAAGGTCCACCGTTATTTAAAGACGTTTTTAACAAAATGTTAAAATTTTTGAAAAAGGCATATCGATAGACTATCGATTGTTTCCGCGGTAGCTGCGTTATCAGTCTTCCCAGCTCCGGTCACACTACCGCTCACCATTTTGTTTGCAACGTGAAAAATAAAGGGAAAACGCTGTCGCTCATTTTAACTAAATAAAAAGGATACAAACTTACTGGAAACGCTTCCAAACGCTGCAATTATAAAGGCTATTAGTTAAGAAGATGGACAACATTGAGCGACTGTACAAATGCTACGAAATTCTGTCGGAGGCGGGCGATAAAATATCCGAGGTAAGCCGCCGCCATTGCAAAACGTGCCGCAAAAAACGGGATGAGAAATGTATATATTTAATATATTTTTGCAGCATGTGGAGGAATATAAAGAGATTATCAAGGCCGTAAAGGGCTCATCGAAGGAGAAACGCTTGGCATCGCAATTCATTGGAAACTTCTTCAAGCATTTTCCGGATTTGGCCGACACAGCCATCGATGCCCAGTTCGACCTATGCGAAGATGACGACACACAGGTGGGTGGAGCCCTAAGCCCCTTAAACTTAACCAGATGGTGTAATGAGTTGACCATCTTTGATCTATACACTTCCCCAGTCCGTGTCTGTAGCCGAGTCCTTTGTAGCTCCTCAGAAAAATTATTAGGATTGAATGATACAATGGGTCAGGTATCATCGATCTATACACTTCACATATCTTTAACATTTGATAGAGTATTAATCCTCGATCTGTTGTTTTGGAGGTATTTTACCATTTTCAAGAAAGGTTTCAATTCTTTAAGAAAACACCACTTTAATCTTTGGCTGCCCAAATGCCATTACTTATCTCTTAAGGTTAAAAGGTCTTTGAATTCTGTGGTTTTAAATTTAACAACTCAACACTTCAGATCCGCCGCCAAGCCATTAAGGATCTGCCGAAACTGTGTCAGGGAAACGGTGACGCCACCATCCGAGTGGGCGATACTTTGGCCCAACTGCTCATCCTGGATGATGCCACAGAATTGCAGCAGGTCAACAACTCGTTACTGGCCATCATAAAGCTGGACACCAAAAGCTCCGTCACCGGATTGTTCCAACAGATAACCACAGGGGATGAGACGACAAGAGAGCGCTGTCTCAAGTTCATTGCGACCAAACTGCTGACCATGGGTCCCACAGTTATAACCAAGGAAATCGAGGACTACATCGTGGAGGAGATCAAGAAGGCTCTGCAGGACGTCACCGCTGATGAGTTCCATCTGTGCATGACAATTCTGGGAGCGACCAAACTGGGCAGCACCATCACCGGACACGCCGAGCTCGTCAAGCTGGCCACAGAACAGGCGGAACTTAATAACACAGACACGGACATCATTGCAGTAGATGATGAGGTCGTGGAGCGATTTATACAGTGCGCCACTGCAGCGGCACCTTACTTTTCGGTAAGTCTTAGGCATGCTTTAGCTACTTTCTGCAAATTTTCAAATCTAATCTATTTGCTATTATTGTAGAAGACCATAAAATCAACAGCATTTGTAGCACACGTTTGCGATAAACTGCTGCCCATCAAGACCTGGAACATGATCGCTACTGCAGTGTCGCAAGATCAAATTCAACTCAGATTACTGAAAGTATTTGCCGAGATGATAACTAACACGGACAAGCTGGAGAATGCCAGCGAACGCATTAATGCAGTCTACCATGTATTACTGGTGAGTTTAGTTGGTTATTCACTCACAAAACTAAAATATAACAAGTGCATGTTTCTTTTCTTTGCAGGAGTACATGCCTTTGCCGAAGCTGAGCGATGAGGATCTGGGGGATACCCCGCCCTCGTTTCAGTTCTCGCATGCCGAGTGCTTACTGTACGCTCTGCACACGCTAGGAAAGAATCATCCAAATAGTTTAAGTTTCGTCGAGGACGCGGAGAAGCTAAAAGACTTTCGAGCTAGATTGCAATATCTAGCAAGGGGAACACAGGGGTATGTATAAATAACATTGATCACTGTTCACAAAATTCATTTTATTACTTGATTTGCAGTTATATTAAGAAGCTGGAGGAGGCCCTTAAGGGCAAGACGGGGGAGGAACTCAAGACGGAGGAGAACCAATTGAAGCAGACGGCGCTTAAGACTACATCTAACATTAACGTGTTGATACGGGATCTGTTCCACTCGCCGCCCATATTCAAACATGATATTGTGCTTTCCTGGATTGTGCCAAAAAATGTAAGCATTTGTCATGTCTCCTCCAAAATCTATATAACCAAACGATCTCTTTGAACTTGCAGACTAAGCTTGGCAAGCGCCATGCACCCATCACTTTTGGGGAAAAAGCAGCTGCCAACGGGAAGGAGAAGGATCAGGAGCCAGAAAAGAAGGCGCGGGCATCCAACGACCAGAAGTTCTACTCGCCTCCATCTGGGAAATACTCGAACAAGGTGAACCAGAACTATGGAAACAACAATCGGACGAGACAACGCGGTGGCGGCGGAGGAGGCTACAGGAATCGACGCTTCAACAAATACTAAGTAATCTATAGAGAAGCAGCAGCGCGTATTTCACTTGAATGGTTTGTCCCTAGTCCTTAACCCTAAAAAAAACTACGAGATTGGATTCGTGCTGAATAAACGAAAATTAAACGATGCTGCATCCAAGCAAGAAAACAAGCGCCAACAGGAGAATCTGCTTTTCGCAGCGGCCGCTGGTGAGTATGACAACCAATTTCAAAGTAACTTTCTCCCTTTCGTTTCTTTTCAGCGCAATTTATTCTCATGGAAAGTAAATGCCACATTCTAACAACCATTTTCTCATACACTCACGCATTGCTTTTATTATTTTCGTGAAAAATGTTTTTCCCACAATTTGCGTTAATTATTCTAAACAACGTCACGCCCTCTTTTCATAGAATTCAAAAAAAGGGGCGCTGGCTTCGTTTTGAATTCATGTCACGATTAACTTTCGATTCTGTCAAATGCATAAATATAAGATTATAACGATAACCAGTTGAACGAACTATGCAATATCAATCTATAAAACAAGTCTGTGGAAAAGTTAGTTTCCCGATTTGAGGAAAATGATTTTCAAACAAAGTGTTTGTGAAATCAATTTTGTGTTTTAAAACTATTAGTTTTTATTTTACATGTAATCAAATCAACAATTGTACCACGTAGAGATGCAACTCAGCAAAAAAAAAACACAAAGCATACATTTCTTGAATTCAATAAAAGCAACATTAAAACTAATCTTTGTAGAATTGGTTTTATTTATTATTACTATAAAATAAACTTGAAATGTAGCTACCCCAAAGCAAAATAAAGAAAAGTAAATATTCTTTAATCTATATGGTATATGGTTTTCTTGAGATAACTAGGGAAATCACCTGTTCATTTTTCAAAATAACTGGCAGAACTGAAATTCTAAAAGTCGCACAAATTAATGGTACATAAAATCTGGAAATGATAATTTAATATTTCCATTATGTAACTCCCTTTCGATTAGAACAGCGACAAATTGCTCTTGCAAGGCCACGCAATGCTTTTGATGTATATATTTATTACCATTAATAAAAATATATATGTATTTGCGTAATAGAAGCCTTTTAAACATTATAAATACAGTAATTATAGTTTCAGCTTAAAAACTTAATCTGTGTTGCCGCCGATCCTGGCTACGTTTACTTGCCCACTAGATGCTCGGCGGAGGTTGATTGCCCGGCTGCTGTCCATTGCCAGGATTGGCATTTGGATTGGGCTGGGCGCCAACCAGTTGGGTGGCGAAGCTTTGGAACAGCTGCAGCATGTCGCTGGGCATGGCCGGGATCTGGGGTGGGACACCGCCGGGAGCTCCAGGGGCACCACCGGCACCAGGAGCAGCTCCGCCTGCTCCGGCATTCGGCTGACCCATGTTGGCGAAGAGCTGGCCAATCGTATTCATCACCATCGGATTTTGGGTCATCGACTGCAGCTGCTCCAGATCGATTTCGGCGTTGCTGAACAGATTCCTAACCGTGGGATTGGCCAGCATTGCGTTTAGACCGTCTGTCAAATGCGACAACTGTGGCGGCTGATTCCTTGCGTTCCTGGCCACCTCCATGTTGTTCCTGTAGTCCGGATTGTCCGGCTCCAGCTCGATGGCCTTAGCGTACGCCTGCTCCGCCTCAGCGAACTTGCCCATGTTGGAGTAAGCCACGCCTAGGCGGCAGTACGCCTTGCTGTAGTTGGTGTTGTACAGCAAGGCTGATTTGCAATCGGTGACGGCCCTTTCGTTGTCGCCCAGTCGGATGTGGGCTGCCGCCCGGTTGCAGTAGAAGATCGGGTTCTTGGGATCAAAGGCAATGGCCCGGTTGTACTGCAACAGCGCCTCGTTATACTTGCACTCCTTCATCAGCCGGTTGCCCTCGTTCTTAATGTTATCGGCCAGGGCCAGGGATTCCGGATTGCGTTCGATATACAGCGACTGGAAGAGCTCGAACATGTCGATGTTTTTTGGGGGACCGCTCCCGCTGGCTAACGCATCGCCGCCGGGGGCACTCGATGTGCTGCTCTGTGATGTGGCCTGTTCCTGGCCAGCGGCGTCCTGCGCCGTATCATCCACATCATCGCCCACGTCGAAGGCCGCCTGCAGGCACTGAATCGCCACCTCGATGCTCTCACTTTGGTCCGGAGACATGGCGTCCAACTGCTTCTTCAGGTAGTCGATGAAGCTCCTTACGAAACACTGTTGCACTGCGTCCGGCATTTTAGATTAACTTGTGGTTGAAGTTCTCTTGATTTCGATTGATAGGACAAAAAGTAATGTGATTAGGCGAAATGTGGAATAAGTGAATTAGAGCGGAGCTGTGAAAAGTATCGGAATGGTAGTGTGACCAAAGTGGGGGTGTTATCGATACGGGTCGTTGCTATCGGGGATTTATTTTCGGAAAAAAGGTTGGTTTTATTGTAAGTTATTTTTTAAAATGTTGAATTCCAATACTAAAATACACATTTTAATTCTTAATTTTTATATTGTCATTCATGAATTTTAAATACATTACATTAGCTAGATAAGCTATTAAAGCATTTGCAATGTAAATTGATTTAATAACCGAAGTTAGAATAATCACACACTTGGTGTTAACATGTAACTAGACTTATTTTAACTAATTTTTTGTATGTTTTATATTTTACGGAAGAAATTCGGAAATAATAAGGTTAATATAATTTAATAAAAACTTCCGTTTCCTTCAGTTACCCCAGGGTTCGCTTCTCCACTAAACACAAATCTTTCCCACGGTTTTAGTCCAAGACCATATCTTTTTTGGGATGCTGAGATGATTTTTTTTAGTATTTTTGAAGTCGCCAGTATTTTAGAAAACTTTCAAGTACGGTCCCATGGAAATTCCGTCACAAACATTGCATAGAATCGACGTGATTGCGGATTAAATTTTTGTTTTTGCACTTGCTTAAAAATTTCGCCTTCATCAAACACCGATTAAATCTAAAACTCAGCGGTCTACGCCGCAATTGTGCAACGAAAATACGTAAAAAAGAAAGCGATAGGGAATACCAAGAATACAAGGAAAATGGGCACAACTCCCACTCCGCCAGCGAATGAAAGGGGAAATTGTGTGATGTCATTTTGACTGTTTCTTTCGAGTTAATTGAAACAACTTCCTGCGCTGCTTCTAGATTTTTTGCTGCTGCTACCAACTGTTTTTTAAGCGCCACAGTGTGCGTGTGGGAGTGCAAGTGTGCCAGTGTGTGTGTGTGATTTGCATATACTATTATAATACAAGCTGTGCAGAATTATATGCCGTTAAATGCATACTGTTAATTGGCCATTAAGTGCTATTTAATTTTCTAATTTACTACGGAGAGAAGAAAAACTACACAAATACCATTCCACACACACACACACACACGGGAAAGAGAAAAGGTGAAACGCACGCACACTTGAAAGCACACCGCGAGTGGAGTTGTGTGTGTGAGTAGGAATCCGATAAAAAAACAAACAGCAAAAACAAAAAGAAACGTCCGGCATAAACAAATCGACTTTTATCGATTTCCCTCCAAAATAAAAACAGTATCGAAAAGAATTCCGCCCAGGACAACAACGAGCTAAATCACCTGCCACGCCCACGGGCAGCTGTACCGTCCACCCCCCGCCCCAGCCCTCTAAACCCCCGTCTATAAAGGATACCATCCATCATGTCCAGTCCGAGCAGCACGGATAATGGCCCATCTCAGGGCCAATCTGTGCAGGATCTGCAAATGGAGGTGGAGCGCCTCACCCGCGAACTGGACCAGGTGTCCTCCGCCAGCGCCCAGTCCGCCCAATACGGATTGTCCTTGCTGGAGGAGAAGTCCGCCCTGCAGCACAAGTGCGAGGAACTGGAGACGCTCTACGACAACACGCGCCACGAACTGGACATCACCCAGGAGGTGAGTTTCCTATTAGAAATTAGCTTCTAGGGGTATTTATAAGAATAGGCGAATAGTTAGATATTAACAGTCTACTTTTTTTTTAGGTTTATATACCTTAGAAGTATCTAAAATATTATTTTTAGATGTGTTAATTTTTAACACTTTGTTCTTTTAAATTTTCTTTGGATTTTCTGGTTACAGAATACATTCTGATCTCAAATTTTAAAAAAAAACCAAGTATTTGGTTTTTACCATTAACTATAAACCGCTTTTTCGTTGCTATGGTACCCTAAAAATAAAATTAAACAGAGAATTTTTTTTACCTGTAGTTTAAATAATTGGATATGGCTAGTATCATTTAGATGCAAACTTTATTGATTAAATAATCAAGATAAGAGAATGGTTTTAACATATATTTTGAACAAGGCAAGTAAAAATGGATATTTCAAATATTCAAACACATTAAAATTGGGTTTGGAAAATGTATATGGTGATATATAAAAATAATTCTTGTCCACATTTTTAAGTTTTCACAGCAACATTATTTAAATGATGTGCAAATTGCTTATACTAGTTATTTATCAGTGTTAAAATAACTTTCAGTTTTAAAACCTTTTTTTTGTAAGTTGAGTTTTTAGATGGATTACAAGCCCTCTCCAATTGGACTTTACTGTGGCTAAGTTTTCTGATCTGTTTCCAAGCAGTCGCCGCTTATCGCCTAACTAGCCCACACACGTAAACACACACCTTTGAGCACATGCATAGCCAAAGAAAACCTTTCCACAATCGCCATCAATTTGTCTTGCTGGCAAATTAACTCGCTCACCTGTTGGCCAGTCTCTCTTTCTGTTTAAATTCTCTCTCTCTCTCTGCCTCTCTGAAGTCTGGTGTCTGGTCTAGCAGAAATAATTGCGATCTACTCCCTGATCATGAAATCGGAAGTTGACCATATGGTCACGTGCTGTTTGAATACATATACGTACGGTAGAGCCCCTATAAATGAGACACAATCTGACGCTAAAATCTGCCTAAATTTAAAATTTTAGTAAATCAAAAAATTACATAATTTTCTCGAAGTAATTGAAACTAAAAGTTATTTAGTTTAAAATGTTTGCCCTTTCAAATATCATACGTTTATATCAGATAAATCAAAAAAAAAATTGTACCTAAAAAAATTTTTTGATGTGTGATTTAATTGCAACTAGATGTTTCCAAAATTTTAATTTGATTTGAATTCGACTTCAGGAAGAATAACTGTATTTATATACATGGTAATTAGGGCTAGCGGTACTTTAAGTCGCCTCAGTGACCACCTCAGTTCTCTTTCTCCGTTTCTCTCCGTTTCTCTCCGTTTCTCTCTGTTCTCTTTATTATTTCTCTTACCCCTAAAGATCTCGCTCAATTTGTCTCGGGCTTAAACAAAACAATGGTTTTGGCTCAAAAGCCCCTACAGCTTTCTGTTGGCCGGTAGCAACATGGCCAATCTACTTTTGCCATTTTATTTTCCACCTTTACTTGGCGCCACATGCTCTCCCTTACGCCCACAGTCGCAGCCACTCCCACAGCCACCCCCTTGCCTTTTTTACTACTCTTCCTCTCCAATTAGTCGTCCTCATCGCCTGGCATTTCCGCTGGAATTTCTACCGGCTGTGGATTCCTGGGCCCAAACTGCATTGCCAGACGAAAGGGAAAAGTTCTGTCCTTGGTGAAAATCAAATGGGGGAAACAAACCATAATCATTCTGCCGCTTATTATGATTTTCTTTTTTTGATTGTTGCCCCACCTTTTCTTTTGGATTGTTTTGCTGTTAATTAAAGCGGTTGCTAAAGCCAAAGTTGGTTTAGGCTGATTTTAGTTGAAGGAGGAGGGCTAATGAAACAAGTTCCTGGAATTTTTTCGAGGCTTTGTTAAAGAATATATATATATGAACCCAATACTTTCACCATGGATAAGGTTTTAGTTATTTTCCGAAGGAATAAGTTAAAATAACTAACATTAGAACAATAAAAATAATTGGGGTTCATGGCTTGGAAAACATCAGATCACAGAAACATAGTCTTCTGCAATATGCATTTTTAAAGACTAATTTATTTAACCGTAAGGTTGTCTCATAGTGTAAACTTAAATTTATTATTTTAAACTAAAATCCCAATTGTTGTTGAGCTAAAATATTTATGAGCTTAAGTGTGAACCCTATTTATTTGTATTTATACAAGGGATTTATCAATATTATTATGGCACTGTTTAAAATTTCATAATTCAGAAAGTTTTGGAAATAAACTCAACGAGGGCGTAAACACCTGCACACATACACTCGTCCATCCGGAAACACCTTTTTCCAAATAGGTGTGCATGCATGTATTCATGCATTTCTATGCGTACAGAACAAAAAGCCTGCCAATTAATTGTTGGACAGGTGGCAGTGCACTTGCACACCCCGCTTGATAGTTTCCAGCTTGTTGGATTTGAACTCAACTGAACTTTTACGAGAACACAAAAAGAGTGCGAGACTAAAAGAACACTCCTACACCCCCCCACACACACACACATTTTTAATGGATGCTTAAAATTAAAAAATATTCGCAACGTCGACGACAACGTCACTGCGGGCATTTTCTGTGCCCCAACTGCAGCCCAGCGAACAGTGCAAAAAGGGGTGGTTAAATGGAGAAGGGGGTTGCGGTGAGTGAGGGACATATTTTCACTTGTAATCAAGATATCAGCCGTGGGCGAACCCAGCATGGAATGACATAAATCAACGCGGACGGCAGCAAAAGAGGGTAAAGTTTCCGTCTTCGGGCCACGTTTCAAATTAGCTTACTAAAATTAATCGGATATTTTCTAAAGAGCCGGAGGCACGAAAAATTTTCCCATCGACTGAGCTCTAATGTAATAGAATTTTGATTATACATTGGCCAGGTCAGTACTTTAATTGTATTTTATATTTCGAAATGACATTAAATTGGATGTTTTATTAAGTAGCATTTATTTCCAACTTTGTCTTTTCGACATGGGCACTTTATGTTAAAAATACTTAATAGATAACTAAAAAAAGTGGTTATAAAACTAATAACGATTACTTAGAAAAATAAAATCAGATATCAAATATTTTTATTTGACATATTCAGTTTATTTGATTTATTGTGCTAAAAATTAAATGATGAAGTTACTGTTTTCATTAGATTATTATTTGCAAATACATATAATATAATCAGTAATGTAAATAAAAGTAGAATGAAAACATTTAATTAAAACACAAATCAACTAACTGTCAATAAACTTAATCCAGAAAGTGCTAATTTTGGGTCCATCACTGTGGCTGCAAATTGGCAACTGCAACTGCAGAGCCGCAAAACAAATATTTACCCAATTTTCGGTACGTCAGGCGGTCGAAACTGTCAGCCACATTTGGCAATTTATTCAGTTAGCTAAATCAGAGTTGGTGCAACAA